TTGCAATTTTCGAAGATAAGATGGATACGCGAAATGCTACAGCATTTCTTCACGAGTCTTTTACTGAATCAGAAAGAAAATTTTGGAGCCATTTTTGAGAAAATTTTGAAAATATTGAGGTTTCATGGAGCCCCCTTCCTAATCACAATACCCGTTTGAAATTCAAGGGGTCGATCGGGTAATGTAAGTTGTTTACAGACGGGTGGACAGACGTGAATCGATTTTTCGGTATCAAGGACTTACCAAACGTGGATTCTGACTACACGCGTTAAAGGTAATAACCTATTACATAATAGCAACAATATTTTTCGTTATCAGGACCTGGCAATAAAAGCTTTTCTGTCGAAACATTGCCATTCTCTTCCGCAGCTTAACACTTACTCTATACTACGTAAGTTGTAGGGGAAAGTAAATTCATGGCAAAAAACTTTTTTTTTCTCGAGTCATTTTTCCCACCAACATTACAATATTTCCTTTAGACTACGTGTATGAGAAAGTAAAAACACCCTTTTCTTTAAAGGAATCCTCAAAACGCCTTTTTCCATCAAAATCGTATCCTATATTATTTCAGTAGTATACGTACCTTTTGCGGCGCTCACACGCAACCGATCTCTATAAATGATGTCTCAAAAGAGAGGGAATTTCACGGAGACGTGACGAATTGCACTTTGAAAATATGACTGCTTTGTTTAGAAAAGGAATCCAAATATTCATAATCAAATGCAACCCGCAGCACTCAGATATATCATTAAATAACTCTTAAACAAAGCGTTCTAGAGCCTTTAAAAACTAAAATGTTGAGGCCAAAGGCCTCAAAGAAACGTTCCTACACCCTAATCGATCGGATATTCTTGATCATTTTACTAAATTTCTGCTGGTTCGGCACTTATCGATACTATCAATGCTACCTAGATTACAACCCTTTGCGATGGTGGCCATCTTTGTGATGTTACGCTTAGAAGGCATAGATGACTGTTTCTTATGCGTGTAGTGAAAACATTAATTTAACTTTTTGTCGAGGACTACAAGTGCTGTATACCTAATTGTTGGAAGATCGGAGTGTACAGTGGAGAATGAAGGTGTCTTGTTAGGTTTGCATTGTGTTTTACCTGCATCAATATTTTCGTTATCAGCGCTGATTGGGTTAAATTTTCACGTCGGCGTGCTCAGTTGCGTAGCTTTCGCAAGAGTAAAAAGATTAATATTTTTGAGTACCACGAAAAGCTGTCAAAGAATATTGAATAATTACTTCAAATATTTTCAAGGAAGTGTTGTGAATTGTTCCAAGAAATTTCTCAATATTACTGAATGCATCTTTGTTGAAAATGTATTTTCAGCATCAATCGCATTGTTGTTACATTATTTTAGATAATGTGTTAGTACATTGGAAGTCACCTTTATACATTTTAAACAAATACGTTTCGTTAATAACTTCCTCTTAAAATAGCAGAATACAGAAGAATATGGGGTTTAACATGTGCGAGTTCTCTCAAGGGAACGCGGAAGGTAGTAGGGGAAAACTTGTGCTATGGCAAAAAAAAATTAACTGAAGTAAAATAGCTATAAAGAAATGAACAACCAAAATTAAAACGCTTTTGCCTACAATAATACGTGAATGAATTTAAAAACGCAACCAAATTCACAATTATAGAAATAGCGCAAGTCACTCGACAATGCCAACGATCACAATCCAGACGCACGAAATAAATGTTGGCGAAATCTGGAAGTCGGTACATCACTGCCCAGCTGTAAGCTCATATTGTAAATAATACAGCGTTTGTTATTAAACTTACGGTGCCGGTTCGCTAAGATATTCGATACGTAAATATCGTTTGAGCAACATTCCCACGTACCCAAGTAAAGTCTAAGCCTAATGAATTGTTTCTAATGGTAGCAAATGGTATTATTCAAAAGGTGAAAATATTAGTTTTATTATTTTTTGGTTCGGAATTAGTTTTCTTGTGGCACGTAAGAACGCAGAAAATAGACCAATACTTTTTATTATACAAATAATTTTTCATAACCCCAGCAAGCTGGCAAGCTCTCCTGCAAGCTCTGAGGATGATCGCTATGCGATCGAAACGATCATAAGCTGAATAAAAAGTATTGATACTAGACAATATCTTTATCATAATAAAAAGGTATCTACCTCAGCAGCGATCTAATTAATAAATTGCATCAGTTTGACACTTTTTCATTTGAATTTAATTGGCTATGAAGGTCATGTGTACGTATCTGGCACGTAGTAAGATGTGAAGGAATACTTCTGTTTATTGCTCTGTAAAAGTATATTGATGTTATTCTTGTACTGCTTATTGGCACGTGTTTGAGAGGTGACCTCAACAGACGCGGCAGAAAAACGGCAAGTAGACATTTCAATTGTATTTAATTTCTCAATTTCATCTCTGTGTTCCACTTTGTAACGTGCCATATTTATGTAGAACGTATTTGAGATTACAATGATTTTTTTTCAATTTTTTAACTGTCGGTTTCGAGTTAAAAGGTCAAATATGATTTTTTTAAAAATGTATTTAACACACATCAATTTTAAGAGAATCTTTTGTTCTTTAAGGTCTCAAAATTTTATTTGTTACAATTACAACAGGTGTTAAAGTGATTAATTTTAGAGATGCGAGCATTGTATTGAAAATTTTGAAAATTAATGTAATCTGGAAAACAATATTTGTTGAAAAACATGTTTTATAATTTTGCTCATATTCGTCCTCTTCACAGAAAAAAAGTTGAAAAATAGGACAATGTCAAATTTTCCTTAAATTTGTGCGATTTGACTTGGAATGACCCATACGTCTGTTAAACATTGCCCCAAAATGGGGGCGTTGATTGCAGACTCAGCCGCTTATGCCGACTCAAGAGTCATATGAACAGAAGTCTATGCAACCCGCCGCGCCTTCCTAGAATTCAAGCTGCGCCTTTCGCTGCATATTCAGCCCTGCGATTGCGCAAATATCGCCGGAATTATTACTAATCCGAGATCTCTTTTCTCCGTTTTCTCTCTCTGTCTCTCTCTTTTGCCGTCTCTCTCGAAACCATATGCAGAATTTCTTCCAAAATGAATATTCCCTTGTCGATCTGTCTAGACTCGAAACTCATCAAATTTGAAAAACATTCTTAAAAATGTGGTTGTTCTTTACACGAAGTCATTTTCAAAATTTTCTCAAAAATAGCTTCAAAGTTTTTCTTTAAATTTCGTGTGAGAATAGTGAAGAGTGAAAGTTTGGAAAATAACAAATTATTTCTGCATCTAGATCAACAAAATTGAAGATTGTGATTTTCTTTCATATAAAATTGGTTCTCTTAGTGCTTTTATTGAGGTCATGTAAGTTTCTTTAAAAAAGTTAAGTAGTTTTCTCGCAACATTGCTTGAAATATGTGCAATATTAAAAAATAACAAAAACGATAATAAAAATAACAGCACCAAATTTTGTTTCTTGAAACTCTTGGTAGGGATTGTGCTAAAGTACTGTTACTCTATAATATGACATAAACGCCATTTTGCTCTACTTTTTGTTATTTAAAACATTACAAAAATGTAAGTACTGTTTAAGATGACACTAGTCATTTTGCTGTATTCTTTTCCCAGAATTTGTAGGAAGCAGTTTCTCTCTTCTTTAATATTCTTAAAGTAGTATTTCAGTGTGATAATTAGTGTGCCAAAAATGAGACAATTGCAAAAAATGTAATTTGGGTGGCGATAGACGGCAGCTGGCAAGAGGATAGGGAAGGGCTAACCCAGACTAAAGAAATTAGAAAATAAAACTAGTACTGAGAAAGTATGTGCCATTCTGTATCACCACTTGTTTTAATTTTCAAAGAATTAGAGTAAATTGGAAATACATACATCAGAAAAATCAAATGAATTTGAATTCTTGTATCTTTTAGGGTGCCATAATTCTGAAAAATCAGATTGGCTTAACTTTTCTTTGTTTCATTTATAGTGTATTGTCAGAAATGGATTTGGATAAATCGTTGTTGCAGAAAGACTACTGCATAACTGAGTTTCTGACAGCTTTTTCTTTTTCGATTCCTGATACCAATGGCCATAGCTCTTCCCAATTGATAGCATCAGACGTGCAATATCACTCATTATAAACATTAAGTTACATTTGCCATGCTATTAAATGTTACCCTTCATATTAAGTATGCCAAAAATACCAAGGTATCAGGGATGCCAAGTACGTAAGTTATGCCGTAGTGTTTCTTCAACAACAACCACCACCACATGGTGTTTCTTTATTCCAGGTATCTACATAGTTTTTCCATCTCTCATCAAGGTATTTTCTTCAACTTCAATTGCATTTTTTCTATCATCTATATTTGTTTTAAAGTACACAGCGTACAGTACAAAATCAATTTTTCGCTGTTGTCTTCATTTATGCAGATTTGCCAGGAAGTTTTCTGGACTAGTTCAAATCTCCAAAAAAGTTGTTGTAATCACATTCATTTATCAGATAGGGCATTTTAGGAAGCTTCAGAAATAGGATGTTGCTTCTCATGCTGCAGTTCAGTAAGTGACTTCTTTCAAATTCATCTTCTGAAGTTAGTTGTGTGGAAAGTTGTGTTGCAATTCAGAAAATCCTATAACTGTGCAGCATTGGTATTACAGTAGGTAGTCAATTCCAGTTCTTTCAGTGTGTTTTGATGAGCTTTTTGTAATAGAGAAATGCCTTTATTACATTATGCCTGAATCCTGAACTATTTTGGAAATTTAGTATGTTGCTAGAAAGTGTGAAAAAACAAAACTTGAAATTATTGTTACTACACAAAATCTGTGTGTGGTGGAAAAAGTCCTATTGTATTTTTGAAATCAGCACATCTAAATATTTCGGAAACACAATGAGAGTTTCATAAGCCAATAATCGTATTTATCAGTGTAATTGTGTAAAATAAAGTATTACAGATTGAATTATGTTGATCTTATTTCACAGTGTATTAACTGCCATTAGATTATACTCTTAATGCAATTCTTACCCTGATAACAGTTCTGAATATTACCCTCATTGATCTCCCTGGACTTACAAAAGTGGCTGTGGGTGATCAGCCTGTGGACATCGAGCAGCAAATTAGAGACATGTTGCTTCAATTTATTTCAAAAGAAACTTGTCTCATTTTGGCAGTAACTCCTGCAAACACAGATTTGGCTACTTCTGATGCTTTGCAGATTGCAAAGACTGTTGATCCTGATGGTAAAGTGTCCATTTGTGACACTAACCTCAATTGTTGTGTGTTCTCAGTGAGCAGTAGCATTTGTTGTTTTTTCTGGTGTTTCTGTTTTACTTTAATAAGTTGTTGTTGTTGCTGTTGTTATTATTATTATTATTATTATTATTATTATTATTATTATCATTATCATTATTATTATTATTATTTGCAATAGTGTATGTTTACAATGAAATACTGAAGGCGAGTTTTGTAAATACAGAACAAATTTACAATGTTTTTCTGTAAACATACACATTTGTAGCTGGCACCGTGCTTTGCACGTGATTGTTATGATTTTTGGCTATCCTAGAAGTAGTGGAGCTTGTTCTGTGGTGTTTCAGTCTTGAACCTGACTCTTATTGACCTGCCTGGTCTCACTAAGGTCCCAATTGGAGACCAGCCTGCCGACATAGAACAGCAGATACGTGCAATGATTATGCAGTTTATATCCCGAGATAATTGTTTGATTTTGGCTGTTACACCAGCTAATACAGATTTGGCAAACAGTGATGCTCTCAAACTTGCCAAAGAAGTAGACCCTGCAGGTAAAAATTAGATACAGCTCAGAAATATAAATCTTGAATTTGTAAAGAAATAACTTTAATAAACACATTATTTGTATTGTTCAGGATTTTAAATGTAATTGATAGTTGACTATTATTTTAACAATTTTTTAAATCAAAATTGTGAATATATTATATACAGTAGAAATAAAATTAAAAAGTTTATTAATTTATTTAGGTGTTCATAACTGCAACAAGTGAAACAATTAATATTATTTGTGTTATATGCCTTTTATGTCTAGAAAATTTGTTTTAAAAGTTTTTAGTTGTATAATTTTTATTTCTACAAAAGATTCATGAAATAAGATCATTGCAATTTCTCAATACCTTTCTGTAAATTATCGTAGCACTGTACGGTTTTGAATATTTTAGTTGTTGGAAGTGAGAACTGTTTAAGATAATTTAGCACTCATTAACCTACATTATTAATGTTCTGAAAGGAATTTAATTAATGCGAGATTGTGAATGTCAGTGGTGAGAATCACTTGGTGAGAAATACTGAACCAAATTGCAGTGTTCTTCAGAATTTTTGTTTATCAGATTCTCTAATTCAAAATTATCTTTCACTTCCTAGTCCAGTCAGTAAATATAATTTACCTGAACAAAGGTCATGAAGATGTTTTCTTCGGCTATGTTGTATGTACCCAATCACTAGTTAAAACAAGTTTTTGACTCCCAGATCCTGCGCTAACTCCAGGAGGGCCGAGAAACCAGTATTTCTCTCTCTCTCTCTCTCTCTCTATCTCTCTCTCTATCTCTCTCTCTCTATCTCTCTCTCTCTATATATATATATCTCTCTCTCTCTATATATATATATATCTCTCTATCTCTCTCTATATATCTCTCTCTATATATCTCTCTCTATATATCTCTCTATATATCTCTCTCTATATATCTCTCTATATATCTCTCTCTCTCTATCTCTATCTCTCTCTCTCTATATCTCTATCTCTATCTCTCTATCTCTATCTCTCTCTATCTCTATCTATCTCTCTCTCTATCTATCTCTCTCTCTATCTCTCTCTCTCTCTCTATCTCTCTATCTCTCTCTCTCTCTCTCTCTCTCTCTTCTCTCTCTCTCTCTCTCTCTATATATATAACTATATATATATATATATATATATATTATATATATATCTATCTCTCCTCTATCTCTATCTCTATCTCTTCTCTTATCTCATCTCTTATCTCTCTCTATCTCTATCTCTCTCTATCTCTATCTCTATCTCTCTCTATCTTAACTCTCTATCTCTTCTAATCTCTATCTCTCTCTATCTCTATTCTCTCTATCTCTATCTCTCTCTATCCTCTATCTTCTCTATCTCTATTCTGCTCTATCTCTTCTCTACTCTCTATCTGCTCTGCTTATCTCTATCTCTCTCTAATCTCTCTCTCTATCTCTCTCTATCTCTATCTCTCTCTTCTATCTATCCTCTTCTATCTATCTCTCTCTCTCTATCTATCTATCTCTCTATCTATCTCTCTCTCTCTATGTATCATCTCTCTATCTTCATCCTCTGTCTCTCTATATATCTCTCTCTCTCTATATCTCTCTCTTCTATATTATCTCTCTCTCTATATATATCTCTGCTCTCTATATATCTCTCTCTCTCTATATCTCTCTCTATATATGCTCTCTCTATATAATAAAAATTATGCCTGCCTTCCCCTTCCTCCTTTCCTTATATCTTCTCTCTTCTCTATTCTCTCTCTGCTATATATCTCTCTCTCTATATCTCTCTCTCTCTATATATCTCTTCTCTATATATCTTCTTCTCTATATTATCTTTTCTATATATCACTCTCTCTCTAATCTAATATCTCTCTCTCTATAATATCTCTCTCCTCCCTATATTCTCATGCTATATATATCTCGTCATCTATATATATACTCTCATCTCTATCTTATATCTCTCTCTGATCTATATTCGTCTTCTATCTATATCTCTCACTCTCTCTATATATCTCTCTCTCTAAAAATATATCTCTCTCTCTATATATCTCTCTCTCTATAATCTCTCTCTATAATATATCTCTCTCTCTTATTCTATATCTTTCTCTCTTATCTATATCTCTCTCTCTATACTATATCTCTCTCTCTTTATATCTCTCTCTCTTCTATCTAATATCTCTGCGTCTATACGTAATAATTTCTCTCTCTATATATATATCTCTCTCTCTATATATATATCTCTCTCTCTATATATATCTCTCTCTCTCTCTATATATATATCTCTCTCTCTATATATATATATCTCTCTCTATATATATCTCTCTCTATATATATCTCTCTCTCTATATATCTCTCTCTCTATATATCTCTCTCTCTCTATCTCTATCTCTCTCTCTCCACTTTATTGTTAAATCTGGTAGAAAAATGATGCCAATCAATTATCAAGAAGGTAAAATTTCCTACAATTTTTGGATGAAACATTTCTTTTAAAATCATTTGCCAGGGGTGGTATAGCTTAAAAGAAAAAGAAAAAAATCATTTCCCCAAAATGTGTGCAGAAATACTTATAAAATAATCAATCTATAATAAATGTATCTGTTATTTCATGTAATACTATTATATATTTCACTGTCTATGTAAACATTGTCATATAAATGTACTCATTGCCAGAAATATGTGGATGTGTATACATGTTTGTTTGGATTCCCACTTCACTCTTCAGTGTGGGAACTGCCATTTCAGCAAAACTTGGTGTATGTTGCAATGCGGAAAATAATAATTTGAGGGGGGGGATCCATCCCTAGAGGAGTGGTTGGGAAGGAAGTGACATTTACAAATAAAATCATTATGCAACCCGTAATCCACATTCTCTGTGTAATGGGCACTGAACAGGGACAGTATGCAAGATGGGCAAGGCTGTTCAATAGATAATTGTGATGAATACTTGGGCAACACCGGAAGTTCTCCTGATAAAGTGTAAGTAAACAGGGAATATGTACTTAGCCTACACAATGTGATGTGGATAAGGGTAATTCTCATTAAGTCCAGAATTAGCTGATTGTTTTCTTAATTGAAAACTGGTGGATAAAGTCCATTGAAGGAAACCTTTCATAGTGACCGTCAGATTAGGGCTGGATGAAGTTCTCATTAGCCAACAGAAGGTAGCTGAATAAGTGAAGTATGTAACAGTCAAAAAAATTAGAGATATTTGATTTACAGAAATCAGAATATCAGTGAAGAACTTGGTGCTTTTGTACTTGGTCCTGTTGAACCCTGGTAGAACTAAAAAAAATGAAATGCACAATGTTGTTTTTCACTTTTAATTTTCTGTTTGATACGAAATTATATGTAGGTAAAGAGGGATACATCAGAGAAGAAAATGAAAGTAGTGTATATTATTCATTGTATTCAAATGAAAGTAATGTATTAAATAAAACAAAATATAATATTCTAGAAAATGAAATAACCGTGTACATTCAGAAAACACAACTCATCTTTGAGTGAAACTTTCTTTGATAAATGAAATGCCTCACCAGTTTTGGGTGATTGTCACATGCAGAGACAGAACTAGGTTTGCCTAGAGAAGGACAGATTTTTTGCAGCTATGTACCTCAGCACGCCATTTGATTATATGAAGTAAGGGTTCATAAAGAGAATTTAGCAATTGAATTTTAATTGTGTGTGTGTGCTAGACGTTCAGCCCCATTACTCTGTGGAATATTTTGTCTTCTCAGCTACTAGAAGCATTCTCCCTTGCTAACAGAGATTGTGTAGTGCTCTCATGTACATATCTTTACTGTACAAATCGACAAAACGATTTCACCTGCTTCAGCATTATGTTCTGCTGAAGTTCTGTCTGTTTACACAGAATATTTCAGGCGGATTACACTGTTTCTCATAAGCACTGCATTGCTATTTGCTTTGTGTTGTCTACAATGAGTGAATGTATCACAGCTGCTTAAAGTACGAAGGAATATGTTGTTGCTTATATTTAAATAATTTTAATGAATAGGACTTGTCCTCCTTCTAGAAATAAAGGTCTTGATAAGAAGGTACTTCTGGTGGGAAGATCTGTAGATCCACAACTTCTTGATAGTAATACCATCAGGCTTTGAAACAATATATTGTTGTATTTACTACAGTGACTTTTCTGACAAGCATGGCCAAGTAATAGCTCAAGTGTGCACGGTAACTGATTAAAAGGAAATTTTTTGAAATGGATTTTGAAAAGTTGAATCGTTTTTGTTTATCATGACAATCCTAGATTTTATTAAATTCTTGTAGTATTTAAAACATTGTTCCCTTGTTGAAGGTTGTTATAGCATGAAATATGATAATGTACATCACTAATGTATGATAGATATATTCAACAGCTGTGACCCCCAACTCTGAGACGCCTTCAGCCAAAGTGCTGCATTGTAACCAAAGGGTACTTAACAAATTTTTAGCTGTAATAAATATTATTTTGCATTGGAAAACACAGCACACTGTGTAATATTTCTGTGAAAGGCAGTTCTATGGTGCATCCTGCCAATCCACACAAAAACATGGACATTTGGGTGCAAGCAAAATTGGATGAGTGGAGCCTTACTTCCAATCTACAGCATTTTTGTTTTGCTCATTTGGGGTGAAGCTCACTTTGTGTTATGTTTAGAAAAAATGTGTATCCAAAAGTAAGAAATTTTATCCCTGTTAGAATTGGGTATATTTATTGGGAGGGCCGGCTCAATGTGCCTTACACTGGGTATGTGCATTGCAGGTTGCGTAATATTATTTGCTAATGTTACTCCCTTCTTACCCACACTGTATATTTCCCCCGTTGCAATACCCCCATTGTAATGTATATTAAGTTTCATTGAAATGTCATTGTTCCCACAGTGAAGAGTTAAGCTGGAACATGGTCACACACACACACACACACACACACATTCATCAAGTTTTTTGCAATTAATATTTTCAGCAAAGGGGTACATTTGTGAAGCAATGTTTATACTGACTGTGACAAAAATAGTAGTATTACATGTATTAATAATTATATTTATTACAGGTTGATTATAATACCTCAAACGTGTTTTGCTCAGCTTTTGGAGAAATGAAAAAAGTTATTTTTGAAGAAGTGTACCTTGCTTGATAATTTGTTTTAAGAGAATTGTTTTAGTACTAAAGTTGTAGCAAGTTTTATCGTCTTTAAAACTGAATTGTAAAATTTTTTATACAGGATTTAAGTGATTTAAGTTTAGAGTTACAGAGAAAACTACAAAAAACTTTGAAAAAAAATCCGTTCTTCTGGGCCTTCCAGAGTTAGCACTGGATCTAAGAAGTTGAAAACTTGGTGTTTTAACTAGTGCCTGGTACATGCAATCAGTGCTGGGAAAAATAAATAAAAAAAGTAATTAGGCACAATTACAGTCTTGCCAAATATTATACGCAATTACAATTACGAATTTAGTAAAATTACAATTTCATGTACAGATTAATAATAATTTTCAGCTCCATCTGAAAAATCACTTAGTCTCAATCTCTTAAAAAAAATTATGTCTCTGCACTTACTAAAGAAAAAGAAAAAAGCTGTACACGGGCATTGGAGCCATGAAAAGTTTTCTACACCATGGATGGAGGTCTATCTTTCTGTCTAATAGCGCATTTACTTCGTGATGAATGAGGTAGTTCGCAAGCAAAAAGAACTAAATAGGCATATTTAAAAAAAATATTCACGATTATACACAATGTAATGATTACTACAAAGTAATGATTACAATTTTATATCAAGGAGTAAATGACAAGTAAAAAGTATTTCTGCTAAAAGGAATGGTTATATGCTAAGTTACAAACAGAGAAATCGTTAAAAGTAACTGAATTACTTTTACTCAATTACTTCTTAATACTGCGTACAATCTACCCAAAGAAAAAGTATTTATGGCCTTTTTCCAGGTAACATCTTTTGTTTTTGTTTTTTGGACCAGCTGACTGGACTATATTCCTGGATTTGTTAAGATCAGTCTACAGTATTGTGAATATTGGGATCTGTTAAAATTAAAAGTTTTTTTTTTTTTTTTTTTTTTTTTTTTTTT